CATGTCAGTTAAAGAAAACTTTACAAGGATAATTACCATAATAAATTTAGGGGTAATTGAATAAAAATTATGTTGTGATTAATGTTATGTAAGGGATAACCATTTCTTTTTTCCTTACAAATTACAAGATTTCTACTTGAAATAATCATTTTAAACGCAGGTTATCTTTATTTTTATCCTGCTGAACGTGTCTCTTTTTTCTTTAACTCTTTGCTCCTTGCACGCCTGACTCACCTGTGCCAAGTGGATAGAACCGCTGACCACCGGTCGTTGGTTCGCGCATCATCGACCGGTGGAGTTTTCTAGGCTTTATTCACGTGTGTATCACATCATAAAACCTAAAATGGGGCCAGTTTCCTACGGAAAATTCTCCTGGGAGGCATTTCTCCTTGGCAGCTTGCCCTGCCTATTCCATTAATCCTACATCACTGTAAGCACTAAGAAGGCCCCTTTTTGCATGCATGCTGCGGATTTAGTCAGGCTAGGTAATAAAAGATGAGGCCTGATATATTCGAGATGGTCCCCCCTAAAAAAATCTCTAACCTGACTCGAATACGCGATAACCTGCCTCTCTAGGATAATTAATTTTTGCATATTTTATCAGAAATTTAAATTGTTTTATTTCTTTTTCTGACTTATTAAGTGTTATTTTATTATCTAAGCCTTAATTTATTCGCCTTTTTTAAGTTTTTATTTTAATGAGCCTTAACATATAACTGATTTCATACATATATTTTATTGTTTGAGCCTTTTATACATATTACTCAATGAACCTTAACATTATTTAAGGCTCGGAGAGTAAAATGATATACGGTATATTACTCTACGCCTTAATTTATTAGCCTTATTTCTCATCGACAATCTGCGCATTATACATCGCCAGCCGTTCATTTACAAGTTTTAACACTGAAAAAATTATAATATTAAGTGTGCCTTTAGAAGCCTTAAAAGCGCCTTTATAAGCCTTAAACATGCAGTTTATAAAGTTTCTTCCCAAGCTTCTCCAACACTTTAAACTGACGGAAAACTGCTGCAAAACTTTATCAGCCTGACCGAAATCCCTAAAACAAACCCTATAAAACTTTAATGGCTCATACATTATTCCCTAAATTCTTAATTTAGACCAGTTGGAAGCATTAAAATTCCAAAACTCGTTCCTAATATTAAACCAGAAAAAAAGGGGGAAGGCAGTCCAAGAGCTTCCAACTTGAATACTCATTAAACTTTAAAAAAAAAAAATATGGCGCTTAAAATGGAAAAAAAAATCATGTTAATTTTCTCCAAGAGCTAATTTCAAGATGGCAAAAAAAAGAAAAAAAATGGAACCATAAAGTAGCAATTTGCATATAAAAACTTGAGCGGATGCACGAAGTTATTTGGTGAATAACTCATGAGAGCATTAAGCATTAGAGCAATACATAAAAAGCCGTAGATGAAGATATCTTTGATCATGTTCAAGCCAAGTGGCAAATTATGCATGGTTTGATGGGTTCTGCCCACGGGACAGGAGGCGTGGTGACTGCCCATCATCCATCAGATATGTATCAGGTGAACGGTGCAGGTGGTTGGATCGACCGGTCCCTTCTATCACATGGTCCTAATTGTTCGCCACACCTATGTCGACCACTTTGTTCCACCCCAGGAACGCCTTCTGCTGCTACAATAACAAGAGGAACATGGCCATTTTTTTATTTATTTTTTTCTTATTTTTTCCTTCCCCTTCTCTCGTACAAGGCCGTTATTAAGAGAATTCGCGTTGTGTTCTCATTCCGGGGCATTGTTTCTTCCCCCTTGTTTTGTTTCTTCCTTTAAACTTCTTTTTGGTGTTTGTCTCTTCTGTTTTTTTTTCGTGAAAGATCGTCTTCGGTTANTCCTAATTGTTCGCCACACCTATGTCGACCACTTTGTTCCACCCCAGGAACGCCTTCTGCTGCTACAATAACAAGAGGAACATGGCCATTTTTTTATTTATTTTTTTCTTATTTTTTCCTTCCCCTTCTCTCGTACAAGGCCGTTATTAAGAGAATTCGCGTTGTGTTCTCATTCCGGGGCATTGTTTCTTCCCCCTTGTTTTGTTTCTTACTTTAAACTTCTTTTTAGTGTTTGTTTCTTCTGTTTTTTTCGTGAAAGATCGTCTTCGGTTACGTTTTGAAACTTTTAATATAGTTTTCGTACGTTCGGGTATTGTTTTTATTTTTTATTTTTGTGTGTTGTATTGTTTTCTTGCAGGCTTTCTTTTGTAATTAATTCGTATTTAATTACTTTATTTTGTTACCAATTTCTATGTTAGGGGTTTCCCTATTGTGGTTTTCGTAGTAGGGACATTCCTCTGTCACGTTTCGTGTTAGCCGCTTTTATCGGTTACGTTTTTATATTAGATCCTTTCTTATGTTACGGTTATATATTAGGGGTTTTTTCCTAGTTACGATTCTATATTAGGGACTTTCTACTGTTACGATTCTATATTAAGTGCCCTCTACTGTTACGCTTTCCTACTCTACAATTTAACACTTGGAACTAACTTTTCTCTGTTATTTTTCATAATTCGGATCCTGTTACGTTTCTACAAACCCCAAACATGCAATTTTTACGTTTGCAGCAGCGTAATCCGAACGTCATGAAGAAGAAAAAAAGATAATGTTTCATAGGTCCTTGCACTTTCTTGATAATATAATTGAATTGGGAAGTTAAAGTGATGTCGTGTGTTTTATTTTTTTGGGCAATACTTTAATATCCCATAATTACTCGGGTCTATTTTCAGTCACTTTAACAACGTCTTCACAATGGCACGTAACCGTGTTTTTTTGTCTTCTTTACCAATTATGTCTCTTTACATTCTTGTAAGCAAATTAATAAAGTTAAAGGTTGCAGGATAACTTTCCGGTTACGTTAAACTAAGAGATTAACTTCAATTTAATCCTATTAAACTGGGAAGTTGCGATTACTTTTCCGATTCAAGAGTGTAGAAGATAAAGGAAAGAACCGAATCCACCTTCTTGTAACACCTTACCCCGACCACACAGCAATCATTTTAAGAAATTAAAGTCTTTAATTTAAAAAAAAAATCAAAGAACATTTGACATTTTAGTGTAAAGAAACGTCAAATCCGAACGAAATCCTTCAAGAAATTTCATAATTTTAGAAATTTCAGCCAGGCAAATCAGTCTTTTAAAATGCTATAAACTCTAATAACTCTAATAATTCATCGGCATGAAACGAATGAAGGAGGGAGAGAGAAAAAAATATAATGTTTTTTTAGATCCTGTTCTGTCACCTGAACCTCATAAATCTATCACTTGATAAGGTCTTTTATATTACATCTAATTCCTTATTCATATGACACGTCTGGAATTAAAAATATTCAAAAAGATCTTTCTCATGATAAGCAACCTCATACCCCTGCCTCACACAACCGCAAGAATAATTAAAATGCCTCTACAAATGCAATATTCCGTGTCTAGTCAGGGGTTTTTTTTTTCTTCGTGATGGAGACTTTGTTGTTTCCAGATAAATATGTGTCGTTTTTAGAGGATTCTTTCGTGAAATAAACAGGTTTATGAAGTTATTCATCTGATAAGTGACCGGCGAAATAAATTCATTACCAGAAAACAAGTAGCACGATCGCCTGTTCTGTCGAGAAAACAGGCGAAAAGTTTTCAAAACAGAAAGAAAAAAATAGAAAACAATTACAATGGACTTTTCGGAATTTCCCTTTACTGCTCTATTAGTTGGACTTTCTGGTATGTTAGTACTTTTGCTTCTGACAATTGTGGAACCGTTAGAACCTCTGTGTAGTTTATTGGTAAAAATACTGAACCCGTGTGTGCCTTTTTTAATTAGTAAGAGTGAGAAATCTGTCTTATTTCTACTAATGGAAAAGGCACGGGGTTTGTCACTCTTCCTGATGAAGGAAGGCTCTGATTCTTGTAATTTTTCACCTGATGGGAAAGACACCGAAATTTTTCATTTTTATTGATGTAAAAGCAAGAGGTTTTCTGTTATACTAGTGAAAAAAAGGAACAAGAGTTTGTTTTTTTTACTAATAAAGAAGGCACAAAGATTTGTAATTTTTCCTAATAAACAAAGGCACAGAGATTTGTGATTTTTCCTAATGAAAAAAGGCACAGAGATTTGTTATTTTTCCTAATGAAAAAGGCACAGAGATTTGTTATTTTTCCTAATGAAAAAAGGTACAGAGGTTCGTTGTTTTTACCAATGAAAAAGGTACAGAAATTTCTAACTATTCTTATATTAATAAACTTCGAATGCTTGATTCTTAATCATTAGTGCTTACCTGTCTTCAGGCATTAGTACTAAATCAATGATTGAAATGTAAATTTTTTTAGAATTAATGAAAATCTCCTGACTTCTAGAATAAAATTACAATTCTAGAGCCATTGGAATTTTAATATAATTATTTTGAAATACCTCTAATTAAAACGTGTATATTAATAATATTTACTGAATTTTTCAGCCATTATTCAAACAATTTCATTAATAATTACTCTAGAACTTCTGAAACTCTTTTGTTAATAATTCTAGAACTAATGAATTGTTTCGTTAACAATAAATGTTTGGAACTGTTAGAAATATTATTAATGGTAAGAATTCTAGATTTTTCTGTTAACAACGATCCTGTAAATAATACAATTATTTTATCAATAATTCTAGAGTAATTAGTTTATCTTTTTAATGATAATTCTGGAATATTGGATTTCTTCGGATAGTTTTCTTTTATTTTTTTTATTTTTATTCTGGATAATTCTGGATTTTTCGTTAATGTCTTTACTCGATTTTTAATGCTAACTTGTTAACTACTGGAATTTTTAATGATAATTCGGGGACTACCTGAATATTTTGTTTATAATAATTCTGGATATTGTGGATATATTTTTCGACTCTAGATACTTCCAGAATTATCTAGAGTCAAGAAACGTNTATTTTGTTTATAATAATTCTGGATATTGTGGATATATTTTTAGACTCTAGATACTCTAGAGTCGAGAAACGTTTTTAAATGGTAATTGTGAAATTCCAGATGTTTTGGATAGTTTGTTCGACTCTGATTAATTATGGAACCACAGCCTTTTCTAATAATAATTCTGGAACTACAGCCTTTTCTAATGATAATTCTGGAACTACAGCCTTTACTAATGATAATTCTAGAACCACAGCCATTTCTAATGATAATTCTAGAACCACAGCCTTTTCTAATGATAATTCTGGAACCACAGCCTTTTCTAATGATAATTCTGGAACCACAGTAGTCTTTTCTAATGATAATTCTGGAACCACAGTAGTCTTTTCTAATAATAATTCTGGAACCACAGTACTCTTTTCTAATGATAATTCTGGAACCACAGCCTTTACTAATGATAATTCTGGAACCACATCCTTTTCTAATGNGGGGACTACCTGAATATTTTGTTTATAATAATTCTGGATATTGTGGATATATTTTTCGACTCTAGATACTTCCAGAATTATCTAGAGTCAAGAAACGTTTTTAAATGGTAATTGTGAAATTCCAGATGTTTTGGATAGTTTGTTCGACTCTGATTAATTCTGGAACCACAGCCTTTTCTAATAATAATTCTGGAACCACAGTCTTTTCTAATGACAATTCTGGAACCACAGCCTTTACTAATGATAATTCTGGAACCACAGTAGTCTTTTATAATGACAATTCTGGAACCACAGCCTTTACTAATGATAATTCTGGAACCACATCCTTTACTAATGATAATTCTGGAACCACAGTAGTCTTTTTTAATGATAATTCTGGAACCACAGCCNTCGTGCCTGAGCTTTTAATTTTGTAAATTTATTTAAAAAATATGCTTCGAACTTCTCGTTTTTCGGTTAAAGTAAATCGATTGTTACGTTAAGTTACAATAAAACTTTAGTCGATTTAGTAGTTTGTGGTGTGTAACAACACCAGAAAAACTAGTTTTTTAAGTGATTAAGCCTTTAAAACAGTATGTTTTTTAGTTAAAATAGTGATTTTCGAAGGTATTAGTGATTCAAATCTACCATTTTGGTAGTCGTAAGTACAGGGTGAGTCGGTTAAATTCAACAGATTCGTCTTCTCCCTTGTAATTGATGGAGAAAGAAAAAGAGTTGACAAGGGGTGGGGCCTCACTTCGATCATTCATAATGGAAGAAGGGACGTGAGCTTCATCCAAAAAATATTGGCTCCACTAATTCTAGTGTATTTATCCTACTCCATCGATTATTGTTACAATTACCCATTATCTATAAGGTCCAGTATAGATTCTAAGGCAAATGAACTCTTATATTTTATATCTATATATAGATCTGATTGTGGTACTTTTATACCCAAGGCCTTAAAGGCCTTACATTTGTTCGTAGAATGTAATTTTAATCATTATAACGACACTTAAGTTGCTCTCTTTATTACAAGAGAGCTATTTTTATGAAGTTGAATTCCGCTTCCTTTGTTTATAGGAGGGTTTTTCCGGATTTTATGCTAATAGACAGGCTTTAGAAAGCCTTATTGTATAAGTACAAACTGCTGCTTAGTATAATAAAGCTGTAAAGATGAAGATAGGTAGGCTCATAGATCGGAACAAATCCAGATAAAACTTAATTCTTTTGGAGAGCATCCAAAATGCAGTAACACACGAACGAATGGTTTTTATTTATTTATTTTATTTTTTTCTTGAAGAAGTTTCTCCTCTTATCTCGAAATGAATTTTTTATTCATCAAGTAAACCCGATAAATACCCTTAGCAGAGTTGTAATTCGGCTCCTATCCCAAAATTGGTCCTTGAACAGGACGTGCAAAGTATACTTAAGAAGTTACAGAGGAAGGCAAGGTCGAGTGTCAGAGGAAAATTACACTTGTGTTCCTGTATCTCGCTACCTGACTTTAATGTTATTTTCTAGACGAGAAAACAAGATGGCATTTTAATAAATGAATCTAATTTTTTTTCTCCTTTCCCGGATTGAGAGATCATCCTGTAAACTTCCATTTAACCTCCCAAACTGGAAGGGACCTCATGTCGTAATTGGCATTTTAGTTTTTCTTTAATAAGGGCCCTTTGCCTTGATGAAGACAGCCATTTTCTGTCTTTATCTACAACCATTTTATAGAAACAAACCACCTTGAGCTCCTTTCGAATTCCTTGGCCCTCTGTTGCGTGGGTTTACTGGGGCCTTCGGGTTTTAAAGTGGGGTAGAAAGTACTCCTTAATATCATTTTCCAGCCTGTGAGCCTCTGTGTTAATTTATGAACTTATTTATAGGCTCCATTTACGTGTATCAGGCTAAATTTTTAGTTTCGTAGCCCTTCTAGGCTTCGAAATAGGCGAGGAAATTCGTTCTAAACTCATTGCCAGCCTCTACAATAGTTTTAACAGCAATCGTAAGCCTGTGTGTTAATTTATTAATTTGTTTATAGGCTTTTGTTAGGTGTACGAGCCTTACTTTTGGTTTTATTAGCCTTTTCAGCTTTAAAATATGCAAGAAAATTTGTTTTAATATCACCTGTGAGCCTCTGTATTAATTTATAAATCTGTCTGTACTTTTTACTTAAGTATCTGAGCCTTATTTTCAGTTATATTAACTGTTTCATATAGTTCTATATTAAATTTCGAGCTGTATGAGGCATTCTTATAAAATTTAGTGTCACTAATATGAGCCTTTATATACAATTACAGGCGTGTAAAAAGCTTATGTATGAACGAAATCACTCGTAGACTTTGCATATAAAGCGCATTAAAAGCCTCTTTGGAATATTTTCATTTACTGAAATGAAGCCTTTTTAATTACAAGAGCTTCCTGTGTGTTATTTGAGCCTTTTTTTATTCCAGTAGCCTTCATTTGATAGATCTAGTGAGAGAATTCGAACGTGTTAACATAAAAGTCTACCTTTGAGAAGAACGAAGTGCAAGAGGGCCTCTATGTAAGAGACACTTTAATTTTTGCACCCCTCTGGGGGGATCGTGTCGATTTGTTTAACTTTAGAACGTATAACACTTACAATATATTCAACAATAAAATTACAAGTTCCTACGTAACTAAAATGTATCGGTGTAAAAGACCTCTTATGTGACAGGTATGAATCGGAACCCTATCATTTATCACCCACCTTCTGACAGGTTTTTAGCTATCATTAATTTTATTTGTCAACCTGGAGTTGTTTTTTGGCGCTTCATACTAGCAAACGTTCAAGTCGTATCCACGTCACTCACTCACTCACTCACCCCCCCCTCTCCGGAACAACCTCCCATTTAAGTGTAGTTTCGGGCAAGGGATGCACAGCCGAAACCGCACAAAATCCTCACACAGCACACTTTTTAAGTGGTGTGAGCCGAAATCGCACAAAATCTACGCATAACAGTAGCGGAGGACACACAAAAAATGAAGCGAACAGGACCACGAGGAGTCACGTGGGTCGAAAAACGTAAGTTTCGTAGTGTCTGGAACAACCCCCAGGCTGCATCTTAATACCAAAACTAGGCGGGGTTTAGGGGGTGCCTCGTGGGTTGTTATAATTATGCCCCCTATCAAAAAGCCGACTCGGCGAGTTAGAATGCGAAAGGAACCCGAAAATTTCCCATCCAAGAACACAGACAAAGCAGAAACTTTAAACGATTTTGGCCGCAGGCTCACAAGAAAAAAGAAAAAATATATATATATATAAAAGAGAAAATACCCCCCTTTCTTCTATAAAATTTTTGTGTACAGGGATTGACGTCACCGAAATATCGTGACGGCTCAATGTAATTATTGTGATTATCGGGTGATTGGTCTCATAAATTTTCACAAAACTACCTTCTGTCAAGTTTCCTAACCCTTCTTTTAAAGGCACCCCCTGCTAAAATACGTCTCTAATTTAGATCATGCTCATGATACAAACTGTGTTTATAAGAAGGCTCCATTCATGGATCTATCTTCAGCCAAAACGGATTGATTTGAGCCTCCTAAGATAAGTATATCATTTATTATTATTATTATTTTTTTCTATTTGAAATATTCTAGATAATGTCCTCTTGTTCTTCCTTATCTCTGCTTTGAAAGGTGTTAAAAATGTTCTCGCCTTAAGGTTATTCAAATGTTAAAATATAAGCCTTCTGATCTCATAAATTCTGTGTTAAACATTAGCCTTCTAACGTAGTAAGGCTCAGCCTGTTCTTTTCTTAGTTTAAAGACCTTCTAATAATTGTAGCACTTTTATATCATAAATTTAAACATAAGAATGAATTTATGAACATTATTTTATTGAGCCTGCTAGCGTTGTAAGCCTGTTTAGCCTGTCTTTAAGTTCAAGAATATTCTTAATCTTTTCTTTTCTTTGCTGAAAAATGAAAAGGCTTTAAACTTTTTCATAATGTAAGATACTTCATTCTTTTATTGAGCCTTATAACGTTGTAAGCCTGTCGTTAAGCATGTTCTTAAGCTCGGTTTAAAGCCTTCTAATCCTGCTAAATGTAAACAAAGTACTCTTAACGGGTATAACGCTTTTTTCAGCCTTCTAAATCTATTAAGGCTATTCTAAAGCTTTGAAATATATATTTTAATTCGTGCCTGAGCTTTTAATTTTGTAAATTTATTTAAAAAATATGCTTCGAACTTCTCGTTTTTCGGTTAAAGTAAATCGATTGTTACGTTAAGTTACAATAAAACTTTAGTCGATTTAGTAGTTTGTGGTGTGTAACAACACCAGAAAAACTAGTTTTTTAAGTGATTAAGCCTTTAAAACAGTATGTTTTTTAGTTAAAATAGTGATTTTCGAAGGTATTAGTGATTCAAATCTACCATTTTGGTAGTCGTAAGTACAGGGTGAGTCGGTTAAATTCAACAGATTCGTCTTCTCCCTTGTAATTGATGGAGAAAGAAAAAGAGTTGACAAGGGGTGGGGCCTCACTTCGATCATTCATAATGGAAGAAGGGACGTGAGCTTCATCCAAAAAATATTGGCTCCACTAATTCTAGTGTATTTATCCTACTCCATCGATTATTGTTACAATTACCCATTATCTATAAGGTCCAGTATAGATTCTAAGGCAAATGAACTCTTATATTTTATATCTATATATAGATCTGATTGTGGTACTTTTATACCCAAGGCCTTAAAGGCCTTACATTTGTTCGTAGAATGTAATTTTAATCATTATAACGACACTTAAGTTGCTCTCTTTATTACAAGAGAGCTATTTTTATGAAGTTGAATTCCGCTTCCTTTGTTTATAGGAGGGTTTTTCCGGATTTTATGCTAATAGACAGGCTTTAGAAAGCCTTATTGTATAAGTACAAACTGCTGCTTAGTATAATAAAGCTGTAAAGATGAAGATAGGTAGGCTCATAGATCTATATCACACGAGTAATAAATGTTCTACCTGGTGTTAAATTAGTCACACTACACCTAAAAATGGCTTATTAGTGTTACTAGAATGCAATACAACAATCTACAAGCCTTAAATAAGCATATATTTGTTTAACTAGGTGAAACTATTAAACACTATTGATGTGATGATAACCTTCAGTTTACAGTGTTGACTATCCTTACAGTGTTTACGTAGAGTTAGTGTTGACTCTCCTCTCTTATACTTTACACTGTAAAGTTTACAGTGTTGATTATCTTCACTTGCAATATAGTTTACAGTGTCTACTACTCTCCTACTTTATTTACCATTAATACTAAGTGTCAATTATCTCATTTACAGTTAGTGCTTATTGTCAACTACTTCATGTTTATAGATAAACTTAACTGCCTTTTAATTAATGGCAACTAACTTATTTACAGTCTATACAGTTTAGGGATGCCTTACAATATGTACCTTTTGACACTTACCCCACTTATAGCTTGTGGCACTTATCTACAGTTCACACTTAATGGCAACCATTTATTAAGTACCGCATTAAAATAAAGCAGTTTACATAAAGTATGCCCTTTCACAAAGCAAATTAGAAACGAATTTTTGCTTGTAAATGTTAAATTTAAGGCTTACACGTGAATTATAACTGTGAAAACTGGAATAAAACAAAGAGGAAATTCGCTAAAAATGTTCTCTTGCAGAGCCAAACCTCGAGAAATGTTGTAACAAAACAAGCAATTTTTACTGTTTTACTACCGCGTAGGCCCCCCATTTTATGCTTAGTTTGTGCTAAATTTAAGGCCTTATTGTAATACGAGGCCTTTAGATTTTATAAAACAAAGAAAAACTGTTTTTTATTACCATAAAAAGTGTTTAAGAGCCATAACTCCAGAGCTATGTTTCCACTAA